CCCCCCCCCCCCCCCCCCCCCCCCCCGCCTTCCCTTGCATCTCGCCACGTATGAAAATTGGGACACTTCTCAAGCAGCTATTAGATGTCTGGTTTGAGAGAGACACTGCAAAGTAAATTGTCTCACCCTAGAAAATAAATTCATATTAAATTCGATTTACCTGTGCATTACGGCTAAGTTTTCGAGGAGCAAGTTCCATGACTTTGGTTGACAATTCACCCTTAATAGCATCCATGTCAGTAAAGGTGTGTCCTCTCCCAAGAGTCACAACCACAACACGCTCAAAACCTGCATTTGTACTGAGTTCTGTTTGTCCTTCTTTTGACGAAAATAACCATTCTGTTTCCCTTCCTGTGAAAAAAAAAACTTAACTTGAACTCTCAATTATAACGAAACAAACTGAGCTAAATAAACATTTAAAAAAACAACGTGCAGTGTACACTAATAATGATAATGATCACAATTACAACATTATGACAAAGATGATTTTAACAGTAACGATGACGGTAACGACGACGGTAACAATGACGATAACGATAACAATAGTGCTAGTGCTAATGATGATGATGAAGATGAAGATGATGCTAATGCTAATGCTAGTGACAAAAATAATGATTAAAATAATAATAATAATAATAAAAATTAGAGATTCAACCATATTACTGTTCACAGGCAGAATTGGAATTTAGAGATGTTTCAGTTTGTTTGCTATCTAATATTGACCAGAGAGAAAATCGCCTTCTAATTACATTATCCAGTCTTTAACAACCAGGGCCTGAATTTTACACACAAATAGATTAATAGCATCAACTACTGCATATTGAATCTTACTTTGTTGACAGAGGTCTTTAGTTTTCCTACTTTTCTACCATAAAACTTGTCCAACATATTACCTTGTGGTACAATAAATATGGCAAACTTTCCATTCTTTGCCAATGAAGGTTGAATGTCTACAATTGCCATTGAATAACGAGGTTCACTTCTTTGTTTTTGACCTCCAGATGATAAATACAAGTCTACATTGAGGTGCTGCTTGGGTCTCAACTTTTCTGCAGGAAAACAAAGCAAAGCAGTAAAGGAATAAAATTGAGTAAAACAGAAGTGAGAGCATGGAGAGATGATTGAAATGCTGGTGGAGCAGAGAGTTGCATTCTTGAGGTGGTGTCTACCCCAAGGCATGGGAACACTCCTGGTGAGTGGAACATTACACAAACTAAGCCAATATTTACCAACGAGTAGACAGGGTAGAGGAGCAGTGTAGGAGTTAGTGCAATATAAAACAACATAAGTAAATAGCACAACTTTAAACAGGTGGAGGATAGGATGTTATAATCATAATGGGAACACCTTGCCAAACATTAAAAAATGAACTTCCATTTCTCCTAAATATTGTGTAAGAAGTTCAAGGTGTTCACTGTCTATTGTGGTGCAAGACCTCTCTTATGGTATAACATTTTAACAAAGGGTTGATTTCCAAATAGAAACAGAAAATGCATTTGCTGTTAGGGTTCCCATTCTAAGATGGACAAGGTGATTTAATGTTGTTGTTTTGTAAGGGACAGCTGGGAAATGTACACAGTTTTAAAATGTATGCACAGGGCTGTTTCTCTGCTCATTTAAACTTTCTATTACTTCATTGCATTCTTGTTTCCAGTCACTACCAAGGGCTTCTTTAAGATCATATCTAAAAACAGCACTATTGACCAGCATTGTCTCTAGCTGTACTTGGCCTAAACTGCATTTTCAAATTTCTTGGAACTGTTGCACCATTCACAATGAATCAAAATTTAAATTTTACGATCTTCATAAATCTTGCATTTGATAACAAGCCTTTGTTTGAGAAAAGAGTCTTCACTCTAGATTAAAGATTGCACTGGAGAAAAACCACAGCAATTAAGCTTAGAGAAATAGTTCAACAAAGCACTGTCTTACAATCATACCAAGAGATTTCCTTGTGATGAAATACTGCTGGATTTCTTGAAGATTAGTCTTGACTTCCGAAAAACAATTCAATCTCTGGATGCTTTCTGTTCCCTCAAGGCATACTTCAATGATTTTTAATGGCTGACTTGATAAACCTAGATGTATATAAATCATGTATACATTTAAAAAAAAAAAGCAGCAAATAAAAGCAAACCTATAGATTGCATAAGACAATCTGTGTCTAACATTTGCACCAATTGGCACAGTCATTCTGAAAACTATTCCATTAACTAGCATTCTTCCAGCCGAAGTACATGACCAATGCCAGAGGTTCCTTGTTATTTTATGATTAAGTATTCCATAGGCATGTCAAATTTGCAATGTGTTAATAAGCTGACTAAAGTTATCATTATAGACAAGTCCACTTAAATTTTATTCAAAAAAATGAGAACAAAAATTCATAACATAGTTATCCTACTGAAATGCAGGACAAATAAAAACAGTCTTCAAACATATACTCTCAATTTCTGTGTGACAGTTTATTTGAATGGGCTTTGTCCTCATTAAATATCACACAGTAGAAATCTCAAGCTCATATCCTTCTAGCTAATGCGTCACTACCCAAAGAATATTACACCCACTTTATCTTCCTTGGAATAGATTGTCTCAGCCTGCACACCACACAAGTATGGTTTATAATAATCACCTGCAGATTTTGTCTTTGTCAAGATAAAACAAAACAAGGGAAATGAAACCAATTTTCCATCTAATAATTCTGTGTTCAGCATGTGCACCCTAAAGAACCATCCAGATGAAAAATAGACCAGAAGTTTATCCAAAACATCTGTTGTCGCCAATGAAAAACAAATATATCGGCCACCAACTTTCAAAAGGCGTTGTACTGCTTCAAAATGTTGTGCAAAATCATATAACTCAAAAGAAGATTGTTCTTTACGTATCATGTCCAGTTCTCCCTTGTCTATTAGTACATTGAAACTATCAGCTTCATCATCAATCTGAAAAAAGCAAAAACATATAAGCTCTAATAGATACTTTCCAGTGGCATTACAGGCAAAGTTACGGAAAAAAACTTTAATTAAAACTTTTAAAGAAAATTGGTCAGTGAAAATTTGAGTCATCAGCTCCAACAAAATAGAATCTAGAGGCACTTTCAAAATGATTTTTCTTGGAAATACAATGTTTGTGATTTCAAAAATTACATATGTAGAATAATTTTATTATTTTACCTCTAACCTGACCTATGCTTTACCCAAGGATAATGGACGCTGACTGGGGATGTGAGTTATATGTCTATGGATAAATTTCACAATTACTTATTCTCTCTTCTGTTTGCTGTACATAACTTGTGAGGTCACAACTATTTGCTTTCAAAGCGGATAGATTTGTATATTTTCATAGCTTGGTTTCTGAATAATGTATCGAAGTAGTATAGAGAAGTTACGTGTGGATCGTGTATAAATAGACAGCTCTTTTACTTTAAAGCCTTTCGCCACAACGAATTGAATTTCAGGTCTGTTCTCTTTGTTCCTTTCTTTTGCAGTAGAAATGTTCTTTTCAGAGCTGTCCACCCCAACGACAGCATGGAAGCCTGCATCGTACAAATCTTCGATAAAGAGAGTTTCTCCATCACTTGTCGATTTGCAGCCAGTTGCTAAAATTCGATCGCTCGCTTTGCAATACTTATGTAGATAAAATTTCAGTTCTCTATAGTTCCCATAGCAAAAGTCAGATTCAACTTGCTCGCAAAACAGCTGACTTTGCCGTTGCTTGAATTCAGCATTGATGGGACTGCGAAATATGAACGACATCCCGTCCACGCTTTGCCTGAATGATACTTCCGTTCACTAAGCATGAACTACTACATTAACCGCTGGTCCTCTCATTAACCGCTCGCGGCTATTGTGTACTTCGCAGGGATCCGCAGGGGTTGGGACGAGGAGGGAGCGAGTCTGGTCACGATTTATAAAAAGTCAGATTTGGAGGAGGCACATCGAGGGGGCAGATATCTTTCGCTTTGGTCTCAGGAAGAAATCTCGTCAGAATGGCCTCGAAAGTCGAAGTTTCCGTAGAATATTGGTAAGTTCACGTGAATTTATTGTCGTTTAAGCCCTCTTCCATCTCATTTTTTCTACTTAGAAGTTAAAAGATAGGTTAGAGTAATTAGAAAATTGCTAGCCAAGCTTTTGTACTCCATTGGCCAGCATTGGTTCAATGACAAACGTAAATTAGCATTTCAAATATCAGCTTAATTTTTTTGAGCTTTAAACTTTTGTGTAGAAGCTGGAAAGTTCTTACTTAATTCAACCAAATAAACTCAGCATTCACCCCCGCTCTGGAATGGTTATGGCCAAGAGATGATTTGCTCGCTTTCATGGCAGTGCCGCAGTGGACGTCAGGAAACCCAAATTGTTGACGAGGCAACGAATTGAAATTGCTTGAATGCGTTTCCTTGTTGTTTCAAATGAAACGTTGTAGAAATCTATAATTTCTGGTGGGGTAGATTTGTAGAACCAGTCGTTTGCAACGGCTTGCACCGAAACGAGCATTCATCGAACCCAAACCTTCACGAGTTCATTACTCTTCATTTTTAACTCTTATCTACACAAAGCATATATTAACTTTAATGAAGAGTCATAGAATTTTTTATTGGCCTGAAGATCAATTTAGTAGTTCAGAGCTTAATTCGTTCTCTCATTACCCAAAAATAACAAGCCAAATTTTGAATATTCTGGCTCGATACATTGGAAACAGATATGAACCACCCCGAAAGTGCAATATCATTTAATCTGCAATTCAATCAGTTTAAACGCTACGGGCATTTAGGAATAAAGTGACAAACATACGAAGAAATAGAGGACTATATATTGTATCTCTGGCGTAGGAAATTGTATGTCTTGGTGATGATTATTGTAAGTGATGGCAAAACAAGTCGTCACTTGTTTTTCTGTGTCCTGACACGATCTGTTTTTTACATTTTAATTTTATTCTACACTCCCCATCTCTTTTAAGGACGGAGGGTTTTTGTAAAGGGGGTCAAGATTTTCCTTTAAAAGAGACAAAAGCTGCTCTATAGTATTATTGTTTGATTAGAATCCATTTTTTTATTTTGATAAATTTTGCAACATGCTATGGGATTATATGATAGTGACTGTGTCAGTGAAAAACAACAGCAATGCATTTAGTTAGGTAGATATTCTAGTCTTGATAAATACTACATGGCTTTGAAATAATTCGAAAAGTTTGTTAGGATTTAAAGATGTCGATGAGTAGTCAGCACACCCTTAATTTCACTCATTCTGCATCATATGAACAAATTGTTTAATTTGTTTTCCTTATCATTCAGCGGTGCCTGAGGGTACGCCCCACGCTACAGGGAACTGGCTGATAAGATCAAGGCCGATGTCCCTGAAGCAAATGTTGTCGGCCAAGTTGGTCGCACATGTAAGTTTATATAGTATGAAAATGTGTAGTGAACAAGACCTTCTGTTGTCTGTTCCTTCTTTTTAGAGAAGGGACAATTTTTAAACTTTCAACAATGTGCAAGTTGTTTACTAATGGTTCCTTTGTTGTGAATGTGTTTTTTGCAGCTTCGTTTGAAGTAATGGTGAATGGAAAACTGATTTTTTCCAAACTTGAACAAGGAAGTTTTCCCTCTTTCAAAGAGGTTAGTTGAAATTGAATAAATCAAACTCAGTGAGAGTTTTGAGACTAACTCTCCTAGAAGATGCATGTTATCAGAGAGGCAAATTTGTACCTGCACAGGTTACATAAATTTCATTGACATCCATAGATGCTCATAGCCACCAAAGTTAAGACTTCTACCCCAGTTGTCCAAAGTGTGGACAATGCTATCCACTTGATAAATCTCTACTGGTTGGATAGCTCAGTATGTTTTGTTAACTTTTACTTACTGGATAGCATTATCTAGACTTAAAAAAACTGGGCCCTGTTCCTATGTAAATTGTTGTGAAGGCAGTTATTACTATCTGTTCAACATAAATTCTTTCAATGCATAACAAAAATTATCATTAGTCTTACCTTATCACACCTAACTATTAATGCACTGTTATATTTTTCCCTCTCCTTGGTTACTCTGTGATTGTCTTAGCACTAGAATTATTGTAACTACCCAGAGAAGTGTTATTAACTAAGTACTGCAGAGTGGCATTTAATTACTCATTGTGCAGAGTAAAGTGCTCTGTGTACCAGTGTGTTGTATTGTGTTTTCAAGTAAGTTTTGCAACTAATTGTGTTGTGATATCAGTTTTGAGCTCATAATTCTGTAGAGTAGTATCAACAAAATTGTAACCACCAAAGTTTGGTGTGGAGTGGTGTATTAAAATAGAATCAGACTTTGCATATTTGTTTAAAATATAAAGTTAAAATTGGAGTGTCTCTTTTTGTATAGATTGTTGTTGTGGTACGTGACTGCAGCCAAGGCAAAGAACCCTGTGAAGTGACAGAGAAAGAGGAATCATCATGCATCCTGCTATAGTCCAGCCACATGTTAACAATCCTACTAAATCAAATCACTTTAATCCAGTTGACAATTATGTGCACTTGCACACAAAATCGATAAAAAATTGAATCATTTTATTTATTAAAGTAGCTTTTTGTTTCTTCTAGGCATCTAAAAGCCAATCACCAAAGTTTCTTTTTATGATTGATGTCCTCTTAAAAACTACTAGTTGTTATTTAGCATGTAGTAAAGTTAAACCTAGTAGATCTTCTTCCGTTGTCTCAGCGGTAGTTGATGTGCATAAAGTGTTTGGGCTTTAAGAATAGATGAGACGCCCTAGAGCCAAAATTTGTAAACTTCAGCCAATCCTTCCCTGATAAAAATTTTAGTGATGGTGGATTAGTTGCCTGTAAAAAGAAACTACAACATATTGTTAGCTATTGTGTGTATTAATTTTTGCATAATTGACTTAAATTTTAATGCAAATATGGTGCTTATTTGTGGCCTTGATGCCTCATTTGGCAACACAATTTTTCACATGCTATGTGGCATACAGCTTAACTTTAGAACAAGTGGATGGAGCCTTGTGTATCTGTTGTTGATGCAAGGTAACGCTGTTAATGTTATTGTATGATGGTCACATCAAAAACACTTAGTAATGATGTTGACTTGATGGTTGGAACATTGCAGTGGAACAGCAGAAACTTGATAGGTAGACATGCCCTGAGTGCTTGTAAAAAATATCAATAAAATATGGAAAAGTTAGAAGTCATACTCGTGCATTTCTCTGCAAAGTAAGGTTAAGTTTGTTGCTTCTCAAGTGGTTCTAGATTTTTCTACACCATTTGAAATGACTGATATCACCCAGAAGTAAGACTTACAGGTAAAGATTTCTCATAAATTTCCAAAGTAATTCAGGTATTCCTTCTTGAGTACACCTCATTTAGGCAACAATCTCCTAAATCTCTTTCACTAAATACTAAAATTTTGCCCATGGAAGGAGTAATCCAAACCCTCTTGTAGGTAACCAGGACTACTTCCATTATTCTTTGTTGGTTCAGAGTCTGTATTGCTGAGTATTGATAAACCTAAGTCATCACAAAGGCCAATCAGAGCACAGAGAAAATGTGCCAGACACAAGCTTAAATGAGAACTCAAAGTAAAGGCAAAAAATAAAATGACCTGCGAAAAATGTAGTAACTGCCTTCACACCATTACTTTTTTTGCTGAGAAACCCCAAGTTTCACCTAAAAAATGTCTAAGGGCACATTTTTTTAGCACATTCTTTGAGAAGTGCTCTTACAAAGATTCTCATCCACCAGTTTGTTTGCTGTTGTCATCAAGCCATTGGAAACCAAGGCTCCTTGCAATGCTATTATAATGTTTCTTCTAAGAAAATGCCTCCTAATTCATTGGCTATGACTCACCAACACAATAAGTTTAATTTTCCAAGGCCTGAACCACCTCCAATAATTGTTGTATGAGATTTTCTCAAAGAGGGTGTTACAGATCAAATAATTGCTTGGCTGTGGAGGGGGTGCTCTAATGATTGTAAGCTATAAGAAGACCACCACAAGTTAAGTTTGTACCTCTTGTAAGCAAGCAGCTTCTATCATTCTATAGGCTTGAAATACAAAGGTAACAAAATCCAATTCACATGACTTTATTGTTGAATTCATAATCAACATGACATTATCTCACCATGAGCACCCCAACCTATCAATACTGAGCAAGCCTACATCAAAACAACACTTAGCTGCACCTAATGAGAGCATCCACAACACATCAAACTTAACAACAATATTTATCAAATTGTCTTTTCAAAGACTTCTTTATGTTTAAGACAAAAATGTTTTCCCTCATAATTCTTGTGAAAAGAAAGACACAACTAATGGTAGCTAGGTGGAGAAAGGGGGACTGTCTGAGTAAAACTGTCATTTGAATCTAGCATACAGCTACAGCAAGAAAAATCTCTAGAAACTGTTCAATAGTTGAATTATCATGCATAATAACTAATAATCATTCACACTGTAAAATACTAAACTGTTACCAGATTTATGGACAAATAAGCCCCTAGTTTCTTAACATATTTTGCCAAAAGAGGATTACTAAGCACAATAATTATCACTTTCTTACAATGGACTACTAAAAAAAATTCCATTTGATGGTCTGTAATGAGAAATGGAAAAAGTTAAATGTGTTACATTTATGAGCACCTTACAATCATTTTTGAGGCAACTACAAGCTTCCAAAACCAGTTTACACCAAGCCAAATAATTGGCAGGACTCAAGTAAAAATTAATGGCTAAATAACTCTTTCCATCTTTTCTCAATCCATACAATGTCTATGTGGTTTGAGTACTGTCCCAAACAGACACAGATTTCCCCTTTCATATCTCTAAACTATGAAATTTGGGGAGCCCACATCAAATCTTGACATTTTAATTTTTAAATCAATTTAGTATTAACTAAGTACAATGTAAAAGTATTGCATGCAAACAGTAGCCTGTGGAAGGCCTGGGCACAACTGCTATTCAATAGTGTAAGCCATAAAGATGAAGTGTGGACTATCTGGACACAATTCGTGACCTGGCTTCACTGTCTCAAAACCCATGAACATGAAAGTGCGCATCAGACTCACTGCAAAAAGACCAACCAAAAGAAAAAATTATTTATTTACATTTACATACAGTACCCTGCTTGAGAAAGACTTTGAAAATGACTTGAGGATGCCCAAATAGTTAGTTACAAGCGAGAACTGAGTTGAATAAACATTTATATGCTGTACAACTGAGCTGAACCCTTTCACTCTCAAGATCTCATCAGTGATTCTCCTTTCTATCTGCCACACAATTTTTATGATGTTAGTTTGGATAATTAATTATTGGATCAACTTAAGATATTCTACTTGATATTTTTCTTTATTCTTATCACTTGTCTGCTTGATATTGTATTGATATTGTAAGGAGAAATTCTGTCTTGGTCACTCATAGAAGTTCAAGGGCTAAAAGAAAGCACAGGCAAATTAGGCCATAACAGTAACATCAACTCTTAGTACAGACAAACAAATAATAATTTTGCGTTTCTGTTATTATAATTAGAAAATGAGGGAATTTCAGGGTACAGTACGTTCTTTGTGCCCAAGAATTCAAATTACCTCTGTCTTCTCTTTCCTTGAGTAGACCAACAAATATGTGAGTGCAGTCAAGATGTTCCTCTGCATACTCCAGCAGTGATACAAAACTAACCAAAACAAAGATTTCTAATAAGTGCCACGAGGTAATGTTATCTCAGTGCTAGTTTACAATAGGCTAGGCAATAGGCTTGGCAGATCCACCAATGAGTTGTAGTGGTATAGGCTAAGTTACTGCGCGTAAAAAGATTTTTAGGAGTGTCTTGAAGACCGATGGTTTTTTGACAGCTTAGCAACCCTCACAAAAGCATCTTAAACTCAATTTAGAATGCTTGAATACCTGTAGAGAGGTTTACAATAATGTTTTTATGATGTGACCAAATAAAGAAAATTTCCCTCAGGCTAATAACTTTAGTTCTTGTACTGACAAGTTCAAAATTTGGCTCTTCCAATGCAGAGTTAAGAACCTTTTATTAACCATAACAGACAGAATTAGCCACAATAATGTGAGATTGTACCTTACAACTAAAGAGGAGAGACCTACCACAACTTATCTAATTATCAGAGCAAATTCAAACTGCCACAGAAACAAGAAGTAATACATACAGTAGTCAGTATTACATACCACTCTTTGCCTCCAGGAGCAATCTCTCCATGTGGAACCTCTACATAAAGAAAGCTATTTTGCAACACAGCTCTCCACTTGACCACATCGTGTTCACCACTTTTAAGGCAAAAGCTATAGAGCAGGGACTTTGATAGTTGGTCATTGTCACTCTCATTGGCTATTTTGGAATCCTGGTCAAAAACAAAAACATAATACAGTTGAACCTGTATTAAGTGGGACTGTACTAAGCGGTCACCCACTATTAAGGGTCACTTGTCAAAGTCCCAGATTTTTTTCTCCTTAATCACTGTACTTTTCACCTCTATGAAGCAGTCACCCCTATCAAACAGTCATGGTCACTCGCCAGAGAGTCAGGAGATGACTGCAAGTTACTGGAGTTTCAAGAAACCCCAGCCATAATATGAACCTATACATACATGGACAAAACTAACTAACTCCTTATCTACACAGGTCCAAAACAAGAAACAATCTCTTCACCTTTCCAAAGCATTTTACTTGTTCACTGATAGCAAACTTGAGCTCAAATTCTTGTCATAATACAACTATTGGAGTTTTTCAGTTCCACGCATTGTAGTTTAAAATTCAGGTATATTTCCATAATCTTTACAAAGAGGACAATACAAATCAAACTAATCTTAAGCCATTTATAATGAAAATAGGACTGAGTGGAGTCCAATTCCATCTGCAGTACTGTTATACAGTCAAGTATAATGGATCTGTAGTCATATGAATGATTTAAGAAATTGAACCATGCTGGGACAAATATCACTTACATTAAAAAGTTTGAGGAAGGATATACCGTCCTCATCATCATCTCCTCCTCCACCACCATCTCCTGAACTTCCTGCCTCGTCATAGCGGACATCAGGTATACCAGTCCATCCACTGTCGCAGCTTATAGTTACAATACACTGCTGACTCCCTGGTCAAATTAATCAAGCAATAGTATTACAAACAAGCAAATTTTGGTGAACAAGATTCAACACTTTTTCAAAACTATTATTTTTGAATTCCAGACTTAAGTTAAGGAGTCAAATCTGATGACTAACACCTAAAGGTAGTTTTCAGGGGTTCACCCTCAAGGTGAATATTCTTCAAATAAGTTAATAAAAGAAAATTTGAACTTGCACATAAAAATTCTGAACGGTAATTTATGTATTTAATAATGCAATGACAAAAAATGATACAGGCTTCTTCCAATGTTTGATTTGAGACTTGATAACACTTAATAAAGGTCTTGAATATGTTTTCTTTTGATTTAGGATTCCACGCAAACCCTGAATAAAACAAAGGCTGGCTGAAAACAAAGGGCTGTCTGAAAAATATAATATTCAACACTGATGATTTAATCTTGTGAAACAAAGGTTCCCGTCTAGTCAAAGGTGCGATGGTACTAATAGTAATGTTTCCAACACAATTTTCGTGTTTGCAGGGCGAGAATGTCTATGATTCCTCACTTTACACGACAAAGATCTCAAAAATCACACACCAACTGGTTTGAAAATAAAGGCAATTTGCTAGCGGCACCAACAAATTCGCTTACATCAAATGCAGCTGCAATGAATACAAATTATTAGCGACAAAATTTTATTATGTAATGAGCTTTGATCACTTGTTATCACTGCAGCTACGATAAACACACGCATTCGAATACTGAAGTCACTTGACATTAAAATACTTTAAACATTCCTGGAAAAAAAATCGAGCACAAGTGGGCAAGTATCAGTTTTATCATAACAAAGTGAATATATGGCTGAGACATACGTAACAACAAAATCTTCCCCACTTACAGGGCTGTTTGGCGAATTTCCCCGGATGTTTTTGGTTAGGATGTTGGTTTTCTTTCTTCTTGTGCGGCGAAATTGTTGACAAGTCGCTGCCGAAGCAGACTACTGACGACAACAGCAATAATTAAACGTTTGAGGGAGAAACTGAATAGGCGATTGCTCCACTAAAGACTCCTGAGCCCCAACAGATCATGGAAGTCGAAAATGTAGACCAGAATGCTTTT